CTGCAATAGCACCATATAGAATTGTGCTCATTCCACAGATTAAAAAACTTAAAGTCAATTAAAGCAGCTTGCTCATAGTAGCCCAGCAGGTGAGAGGCAAACTGAAGATGAGAAGCAAAGACTCCTAAGTCCCTGTGCTCTGTATTAAATGTCTTACTGATTGAGTAGACTTTTGCCAGCTGAGAGATGCCTTAAAAATATTTTCCAATATTTATTAGGCCACAGAATTTTGAATGACTCCTTAAGTAATTAAACAATTTATACAGTTCTTTTGGAAAGCCATTTGGCAATATGTGCCATAAGCTCTAAAATCCCTTCAATGCAGTCATCCCACTCTACAGGATATATCTTCAACAAATAACTTGAATACAGAAAAACTGGGGACTCAATAATCTAATTGTTTAATGTAAGGGGAGTGGAACGATGTGTATTACCATAAATAGTTTAGGTTTCTGCTCTATTATTAAGTGGAAGAATCAGTATATAAAATGTAATACTCTGTATGACCTTAATGTGTTATGAAAATAAACAGAAGAAAATATAACTAAATATTCATAATAGTAAAATTTGGGGCAATTCTTTTCATTTATAATCTTTCCCATGTTCTCTGTAATGAGAATGTATTACTTTTATAATGATCAAAAAATGAACTACATTGAAAAAGTTATTGGAATAATAAAATGTTGGTCACATTGGTATTGGCTAAAAGGTTGGAGCTCTGTAACAACTTTAATGAATGGTCCTGGTGTACTTTCTGTCCTCTGGCCTCCGTGATAGCATTAGCATGTATGCCTCCGTCTAGACATCATGTCACAAGGCTTTTGAAACTGTAGCAATACACCACTGCTCTGTCTAGGCTTTTGCTTCCATCCATTAGTACTGTTTCCCTCCGGTTTGATACATAATGCAGTCTCTATGGGCTTACAGTGACATTATCTTGACAATTCTGTAGTGAGATGCAGAAATAATGCTGGAGTCCTTTCCTGTTCCCAAACCTTCTCCCTATACCTTCTCTCTCTCCTTCTAATTATCCATGTTCCCACACTTCAAACTTTTATTATTAGAACAGTCTATTAGAAAAATGACGTGTGTAACAAACCCTGAGCCATTTGAATGTCGAGATACCAGGATCTAATTTAATTTAGATTATAAGAATAAGGTTCAAATAAATATCTCAACAATGTCACTGTCTATATCCCAGAAATTGGTTTTATTCTTTCTCTTCCCTCCCTATCTCAGTCCCTTCTCTCCCTCCTTCCCTCCCTTCCTTCCTTCTTTCCTTTTTTCCCTCCCTCTTTCCCTTCTTTCTTTTTTTCCTTTTGTAAATATTTACTGAGCACTTTCCGTGGGCCTGGCCCATAATAGGTGCTAGGAACTCTGTAGCAAATATAGAGAGTTTCTGCATTCATAGAGCCTAGAGTCTGGTAGAGAAAAAATAAATTTTACAAATATTACAAGTTTGATAATTAAATATTGAGAAAATGTGCAGAGATTGACCAAATCATATGAAGGAGGTTTTCAACCAGTCTGGATATTGGGAAATATTTCCCTAAGGAATTGATGTTTATGATGAGAATGAAAGATACATAGGAATTAACCAAAGTAAAGAGTTAGATAATTGGATTCATTCAGGGTTGGGATTTACAGTTAGGTGTGATTGAGGGAACAGTGGGGTCTAGGTGTTTAGAATATAGGTAAGATTTTAAAGTGATGAATCATGGAATCAAAACTAGTTATAAAGGTAAATAAAGATAAGAGGGGTTCTTATTGAAAGGGAGGATGCTTACATGTCGAGATAATGGAGATCCCAATAAGGTTCAAGAAAAAGCGCAGTGGGAATCTCCTTAAGCATATAAGATAGAAAGACAAGAGGCTGTGGAGCCCCCAAGTAACTATTCACAGGTGATTCCTGAATGAATGACTTGGAGGAGAAGTTGTTTTAGAGAGTGAGAAGGTTCAGAAGAGAAGATTATTACAGATAAGGAAGAGGAGCAACCGAGCAACCAGAGAGTTGGATGACTCATTTGTAGGGATGATGAGTCTCCCAGCATGAGGACAGGAATTGATGTAGGGGGAAGATTGTGAGCTGGGCAATGACGTTTTCTTTGAAGGGATGGGAGGGCTTCTGCCTGCTAGCACTGTTTTACAGATTAGAGCTTCTCAAAGTGTGTTCTGCAGACCCCAGGAAGTCCCCAATATCTTCTCAGGGGACCTGTAAGTTCAAAACAGTTCTCATAATAATGGTAAGACATTATTTTACCATTTTACTGTGTTTACAGTTGCACCAATGGTACAGAGGCACCAATGGATAGAACTGCTAGGGCCTTGGTCAAAATCAAGGCAGTGGCACTAAACTCACAGGAAAGAACACACAAACAAACAAACAAAACTCCTAAGTTTTAAGTTTTACTTAAGAAAGTCCTTCTAGAAGCAGTAAGAATTGTTAATTTAATTAAACCTCAATCCTTGAATAGGTGTGACTTAAGTATTCTATGTAACAAAATGGGAAGAATGCATAGAGAAATCACTGAGTATGCACTGCATATGATGATTGTCTTGAGGAAAAGCAATTATTTGAGCTGTAAGTTAAGGTAGCCACTTGTCTTACTACTTGGATTACTGTAACAAATTACCACTGACTGGATGTTTAAGCAGCAAGCATTTATTCTTCACAGTTCTGGAGATTGGGAAGCCCAAGATCAAGGCGCTGGCAGATTCAGTGTCTGGTGAGGGCCTACTTCTTTGGTTAACGGGTGATCATCTTCTTCTAGCTGTGTCCTCACATGGTGGAAGAGATGTGGGAGGTCCCTGTGATCTCTTTAATGAGGGCACTAATTCCATTCGAAAGGGCTTCACCCTCATGACACGACCTAGTCACCTCCCAAAAGCTCCACCTCCTAACACCATCGGATTGGGGATTGGGTTTCAACATATAAATTTTTGGGGGACATAAACATCAGTCAATGAGACCACTTTTTTCCTGAAATACCATTTTTTCTTGATGAAAAAACTGCCAAACTATGGTTATCTGGGCTTAGATATTTGCCATGCATTGTATAAAAAAATGCAGAGACCCTATCATTTCAAGGAAAACAAATAACATTACTTGTTACTGATAATAAGATTGGAGCTTCTATGAGAAAATTAAAATTTTGGAAACATATCACTACCATGAACTTGACAAGATCACTGGTGATATTAACAAATTTAATGTTTAGATATTATACAGTGAAATGTATTAATATTTGTAAGGCACATACTCAGTGAACCATTATTTTCCAAATTTCGAATGCCTGATGTTATAAAAATTGTATGTGGGCACAAGATCCATTCAAAGTGTAGAGACCAATGGATTTTAATGTGACAGAGAACAAAAAGTTCACTGATATGCTTTCAGGTTCCACATGCCACTAACATGTAAGAAATTGCCTCTTGTCAAGTTTTCATTTAATACCAAAAGAGAGCATCCACAGTTATTGGAAAAGGCTGTTAAAACACTCCTCCCCTTTTCAACTACATAACCATGTGAGGCTGAGTTTTCTTCATAGATTTCAACCAAATCAATATATAGCAACAGATTGGATGAAAAAGCAGAAATAAGATTCTAGCTACTTTCTTCTAAACCAGACATTAAAGGGATTTGAAAAAATGTACATTTATGGTAACATGTAATAGGTTTGTTATTGTAATTTTAAATAAGTTAATGAACAAGTATTTTTTAAATTTCTCAGTTTTGATTTTGAATTCTGTGAATATTGGTAGATCTAGCCCACTTACCAGCTCTTTGAGGTCTTTAGTAATTTGCAGAAATGTAAAGGTATCCTGAGACCAAAAGTTGGAGAACCACAGTTAAAGATAGACAAAATTTTCTGAACTATTCCATGGCTCCTTGTGCGGAGTTTCAACTTAGGTGTCATTATTCATCAAATTCATTACATAATTAGCATGAGATTTGAAACACTTTCTGTTCCTACACGAGGGTTATAATCATGCCATTCTTCACAGCAGTGGCTGCCTGGCTCTCAGAGGCTGTGGTAATTCTAGTGTTAACAGACGATGTTCCCACTTTCCCCATGGGCCAACTTGGCCTTGAAGTTGTAGCAGTGGTGCTATGGGAAGAGGCTAATGTGGAAGCCAGGCAAGCTTGTGGCTTGTCCCCCTTTCCCTGAGTAGGCTTTTTAATTGGTGAGGGGGAAGCATGGGGTAAGAGAAGGATCGTGGGCTTGGAGATACACTCTCTCACGTCTGTTGGCTGATTCATAAAATGAGGCAGTAGCATGATGAGGAGCAGGCAACGGGCTTTGCCATCAAACCAACCAGTTCCATTTTTGCCTCTGTCGTTCCTGGGCTATGACTTCAGGGCTATTTAGCTTTTAGGAATCCCAGCTTTCTTACACTGTACATAAAATAGATCTAATAATATTTATCTCCAAGGATTGTTATAGGGATTAAATGAGATAATCCACATAATATCCCAGCATGTAATAATGAAAGTCATCTTGTAGTAAACCTTTCATAAGCATTTCAATACACTTTCAATAACCCTTTTAGGTAATGTTATTTTTAGCGTAGTTTTACAGTTGGAAAAGCTGTAGTTCAGAGATATTAAGTAATTTACTCAAGTTTTCAAAGTCAGCAAGTGGTGGTTAAGATTCAAACCCAATCCTCTTACCCCAGACTCCACATTCTTAACCACTGAGCTTTCTGCTACTTTGGCTCTTCAAAAATTGTTAGCCCTCTTTAATATTCTTCTCTCTAAAATTATAATAATTTGATGCATGGGGGACTGATATGGTATTAAAGGGATAATTTATATAAACCCTCTAGCACCATACACTCTCTCATTTCTGTTGGCATTTCTACATAAAGTAGGAGTATCATAAATGTTCATTCCTCATTTCTTTCAAACCATGTTTTACTGGAAGGAAAATGTGCACAGCTTTCTCATTTGCTTAAATTTTGCATCTCAGAATTGATGCAGGGATCTTTCCTTTCTTTAGGAGAGTAAGACGGGCAGCCACACCCGCAGCAGTTACCTGCCAGCTGAGCAACTGGTCAGAGTGGACGGATTGCTTTCCATGCCAGGACAAAAGGGTAAGACACTTATAATCGGTTTTGGGGCATTTCATATTTGATGTGTGTATTAGGCATTCAAATGGAGATTAAGCAGATCACTATGTCTAGGGGCCTGGGGAGAAACTGGGTCTAGAAATTGTTGTTTGAAAGCCATTGTACATGGACGGTGAAATTTGTTTCTGCGTCTCCCGATTTTGTTTGTAGGGTAGTGTTGAGTGAGGCTGCAAAAGATGTGTGTTATGGCTCATAGGTAGAAAAGTCGCTATCTGTACATAGGCATGTTTATTTCTGTCTGAGTCGTGGCAAATCTCTTGCCCACTAATGAGAGTCTTCTGGAGAAACTAATTGCTTAGAAACAAAATACCAAACTGCCCATTAGGAGATGAGATAATCCAGGGGATGTCCCAGGTGTGTTCTTGAGAATTCCATTTTCATCTATGGAAAAGACCAACACACCCAATGAACAGAGGTGTGTCTACTTTGCCCATCTAAATGGTTTTGAATAGTTCAAAATGATCCCTAGTACCATTGACATATGAAGGGAAGAGAGATGTTGGGAGCCCTCCACTCAGGCAGAGGGGAGCATTAAAATTCTGACTTTGTTCAGAATCCCTGGCTCACAGTGATAATAAAACGTAGTCAGCAGGGTGTGGTGGCTCACATCTATAATCCCAGCACTTTGGGAGGCTGAGGCAGGAGGATTACTTGAGCCCAGGAGTTCAAGACCAGCCTCGGCAACAGAGCAAGACTTGCTCTCTACAAAAAATACACACACACACAAAATTAGCTGGACATAGCGGTGCACACCCAGAGTCCCAGCTACTCAGGAGGCTGAGACAGGAGGATCACTTGAGCCCAGGAGTTCGAGGCTGCCGTGAGCTTGGATTGTGCCACTGCACTCCAGCTTAGGTGACAGAGCCAGACCCTGTCTCGTAAATAAATAAATACATAATAAAACACAGTGTAACTTCTAGTCTGTTTTATTGTTGTTTTAAAATTCCCTTCAGACACACATGCCTGTATTAGATGCTCCCTTCCCCACTCGGCATACCACTCACTGCCTGAACCTTGTCTATTAGCACACTACTGCCAAGTTTCAGTGTTAAGATTCAGTTCCGCAGTTTAGATCCGGCTTGGCCTCTTATCTGCATTGTTACTTTGGGAATACTTTTAATCATCTCTGTGCTCAGTTTCCTTATGTATAAATTGGAGTAGTAGGAGTACCTACTTTCTAGAATTGTTATGAGCAATACATGAGTAATGCACACAGAACCCTTCTCATGCATCTGGCTCAGAATACATGTTTAAGGAATTCCAGATGGTTTCCTTTTATTTTTTCATTTTTATTTCAGTAGCTTTTGGGGAACGTGGGTTTTGGTTACATGGTTAAGTTCTTTCATGGTGATTTCTGAGATTTTGGTGCACCCGTCACCCGAGCAGTATACACTGTACCCAGTGTGTGGTCTTTTATCCCTCACCCTCCCCACCTTTTCCCCCAAGTCCCCAAAGTCCATTATATTATTCCTGTGCCTTTGCATCCTCGTAGCTTAGCTCCCACTTATAAGTGAGAAGATATCATATTTGGTTTTCAATTCCTGAGTTACTTCACTTACAATAATGGCCTCCAAATCCATCCAAGTTGCTGCAAAGGCCATTCATTTCATTCCATTTTATGGTTGGCTAGTATTCCATGGTGTATATGTACCACATTTTCTTTATCCACTCGTTGGTTGATGGGCATTTAGGTTGTTTCCATATTTTCCAATTGTGAATTGTGCTACTATAAACATGCATCGCAGTCTCTTTTGTATATAATGACTTTTTTTTTCCCTTTAGGTGGATACCCAGTAGTGAGACTGCTAGATTGAAAGGTAGTTCTACTTTTAGTTCTTTAGGAAATCTCCACAATGTTTTCCATAATGGTTGTACTAGTTGACATTGCCACCAGCAGTGTAAAAGAGTTCACTTTTCACCACATCCATGTCAACATCTATTATTTTTTGATTTTTTAATTATGGCCATTCTTTCAGGAGTAGGGTAGTATCTCATTAGAGTTTTAATTTGTGGAGCGCCAGTTGTTTTTCTAATAATGATCTCTGCCTTCCTCTTCATCCCCAGTCCCACTGCCCTGAATTAATCCCTGCTTTTTCCTTACCTGAGATCTTGCAAAGTTTGCAAATGGTCATCCTGCCTCCAGACCCACCATTCAGACAGAGAGGTGCTCTGTGAATGTTTCTGATGAGTTATTCAAAATTGCATAGCAGTAAGTGGTGGAACACACACAATTTTGACCTAGTTCATTCAACATCAAAGTCTGAAATTTGTTATTCTACCTCACTCATCTCTGAGAAGTGCTGAAGAATTTCAGACTGTTCCTGTTTAAATGTGTTTGATCCCTACATGCTCATTTTGCTCTGACATCCTGTATTAGTTTCTTGAGTCCACTGGAACAAATTCCCACAAACTTGGTGGCTTAAAACAACAGAAATGTATTCTCTTACAGTTCTGAAAGCCAGAAGTCTGAAATCAAGGTATCAGCAGAGCCATGCTCCCTCTTAAAGGCGCTAGAAGGGACTCTGTTATTAGGTTGGTGCAAAAGTAATTGCAGTTTTGGCAGTAAGTAACAGCAAAAACCACAATTACTTTTGTAGCAACCTAATATTTGCCTCTTCCAGCTTCTGGTGGCATTGACAATCCTTACCTTGTGGCTGAATCACTGTGATCTCTGCCTCCCTGGTCACGTTGTTGCCTCACCTGTGAGTCTTCTCCTCTGTGTATCTGCCTGTAATCTCTCTCTGCCTTCTTACAAAGACACTGTGATGACACTTAATGCTATCCAGACAATCCAGGGTAATATCCTCATCTCAAAAACTTTAATGATGTCTGCAATGGCCAGCTTTCCGAATAAAGTAAAATTTACAGGTTCTATAAATTAGGACTCGATATCTTTGTGTGGCCATTATTCAGCCTGTTATACATCCTAAATTAAATTTTTCTTATTTGTTTCAGTTTAGACAGCAGGTAGCACAAGACAATGATTTGCAGTTTAAATCAGAATAGAATTATTTACTTAGCGACTCAAAATCCCATGTGTTTTTAAAATAATCCTTAAAATAATTAATTCTGTTAATTAAGTGAAAGACCACCCTAGTTTTTTTTATTAGTGCCTTCCTTCTTCTCAAAATCATCCAAACAAAGATGTACATTTCTGGAAGGAAATATTATCTACCAGTTAGAAAAGAAAATTGTGTCTTAATGATCCCAACCACAGGCAATAGCATGGAGAAGTCCCTAAGGGAATATTGGCACCAACCTTCCTGCCACGTAAATATCTTCATTATTTGATAGCAACCTAGAAAATAGGGAATCAATGGGAATGAACCTTATGACTTTCACCATCATTCCCAGTATAGATACTACAGGAAGGATGACAATGGCAATAGTCACCATTTATTAAATAATTTCTATGTACCAGACAATTGTGCAAATGACTTAAATAAATTATCTTGTTTGACTTTCACAGCCAACTGTAAATGACAGACATCATCATCCACTTTGTTTGGGTCACCCATTAAGAACATGACAGAGCCTTGATTTAAAACTTGGTCAGTCTGACTCCGAAAAGCTTCTGCGGCTGACCCCTCCACACTACTGCCTCCCGCTGAACCATCCTGGAGCGTAATGAGTGACATAGTGGTCACTTCAATTCCTTTTGAAGTAGCCCAACAGGTGGATACAAGAATGATGATGACATTGATAACTACTTTTACTGAGTGTATATCAGAAACCAGGCAAAGTGATGATTTCTTTGCATGTATTATTATGAATCTTTGCAATGTTCTCGGATATATTTCATTTAAAAATGAGAAAAGTAGTTAAGTAGTTGACCCAGTGATGCATATACAGTAGGTGGCAGAGCTGGAATTCTAACTCAGCTCAAAATGGGATTCCCATAGTATACTTAACTTCATAAACTTGTGAAGATTAAATAACATAAGGAATGTAAAGTGTTTGGCCAGTAGTAGGCGCTCAATACATGGTAGCCACCATCACCATTATCAAATTGGTAGCTACAGGTTTTAAAAATCTAATATAATTTTTAGAGTAATAGAAAAAATTGGCTGCTAATTCAAAGAAGGAGTACTCAAAGGCAGGTACCTACTGTGTCTGATTTCAAATAACATTGTGTGTTATTTGTTTGGAGAAGCTCAAGCCCTTACTAAAGCATATTAAATCTGTTCCTATAAGTCACCATGAAAGCACTGCAGAACAGTGACATGTACCAGATCCCTGTTGCTCATTTAACTGTGAACTCCTCACCCTATAACATGTACAACAGATATGCTAAGGTATCCTTGCACCAGTTTTCAGGCTCAAATTTACTCTTTTGTCAAAGAAGCAAAAATGGAGTTTAGAATGACCTAACTGCAATATTCCAAGCAGCAATATTTTCTTTCTTTGGACCTTGGATAAATACCTTTACAATTCACTCCCAACCTCATTCTCAATGAAATGGAATTATAAGCACAACATATTCATAATAAAAAGCTGTAATCAAAATAGATGTCACGTAATGGCAAATAGTCATCTGAGTTGGACAGCAGTATTCCATGCATAATGTCCCTGTTAGATATTCCATTCTCCTTATGACATTGACTGGATATCTACTCAGTGCTGGCCATGTTAAAAAGTCTGAGACGCTTTCCTTCAAATAACGTGTAACATTAGTTGATGATAAAAGAAAAATACAGAAAATATATTTAAGATAATATATCTTAAGTTTCAAGCAGAAAATGGAGACAATAAGATCTATACGAGTTCACAAGAAAGTCAAACCTTTGGGGTTTGAATTGTGGGAAAGAGGCTGAACAGTTCTAAAAGACCTCATGGTGGAAAACAGGCTTTAAGCTGTATTTTAAACGAAGGAAAGATTTGAAAGTGAGATGAGAAGTCATCCTAAGAAGAAAAACCATGAACAAGAGTCTATAGCCAGAAATAAACACAGTATGTTTAGGAACAATGAACAAGACATATTTGGCTGAAGTCATAGTGTCATGTAAGGAAATTATAGAAATGTATTTAACGTGGATAGCAGTTACACTTCAAAGAATGTGAATGACTAAACACTTCGGAACAGAGGAAGTAACAGATAAACCCGTGTTCTTGGAAGGCACGTCTAGAAATAAACTGACATAAAGAGAGGAAAAAAAAAAAAGAAAGAAAGAAAATTGGCTCTACGTTTCCATGCTGATCACTCCTTTATTTGCTGTGCTGAGGGGCAAGAGTATGGGTGGAAAATTAAAATATACTGATATTCTCCAACTGGTCATTAATTACAGTCTCTTCCCACAGAGTTTACAAATCTGTTACTGCTGTTATTAACTGAAAGGCAGGACAGGCCTATGGACAGGTTTGATCTTCACCTCTCCTTGCTAACTTTGCCACTTTGCTAATGAGCAGCTAAGGAGACAGAGGTGGGCAAGAAGAGAGGCGAGCTGCACTGCTCCACAAATCACCCGTGGAATCACCTGGAAAGACTGCATTGATTACAATAACAATGTGAAAACCACCTCTGCTTATTGAGCACCGATAATATACCAGAAACAGGGCTGGGGGCTTCTTCATACATTCTCTTACTCAGAGATCACACAGTCCTTTCAAGGGAAAGTGCCATTACACCCATTTCACACAGTGGAAGACAGAAGCTCAGAAAAGGGAAGTGGCTTGCTCATGGGCAGTTGGTCAGAAAATCTGGGACCTGAACCCAAGTCCATCTAATCCTCATGTCCATGCTCTGTCAACTTCAGGACACAGGTGAAAGGTTATTAGTCATTATAATTAGGTAAGTTATTTAGCTCACCCACCTCATTGCACAGATTTAGAAACTGAGCAACAAAGTACCAGACACTGATACCTCACACAGCAAGTAAGAAATTGATTGAGGTAGGAAACCCACTTCTTTTGCTGCTCAAATCATTGCTTTCTTATCTACACACTAACATTCTTAAAGGAAGGGGCCTGTGGGCTGAGCCAGGGAGAGAGGCAGCAGGAAATACAGGGCTGCACATTTCCTTTTCAGCCACTGTATGGTTGCTATCCGTGCTGCATGTTTTGTATTATTACACATTTTATGTCCTCAACTAGACTCTAAGCTTCTTGAAGGCAGGAATAGAACCTCATGTTTCTCTGAATATCCTAGTGTTCAGCTTCCTCCTTCTACACTAGTGCCTGACACTACACTATACAGAAAACATGATTATGAAACTCTAAAGTCCCAAGATTGGTGTGCATTTTAATTCTTCCTTCTGTCAAGTGTCTATTTATCTGCAGTCAAAGGTGGACCCAGGGACTCAGATGATGTCTTCAGAGCTCTCTTTGTCTCTCTATCTCTTAGATGGGTACTTTCTGCATAATAGGCAAGGCATCTACAATTGTTTCCAACAATTCCAGGAAAAAGAAGCTGTCTCTTTGTAAAAGAAAATCCCCAGAGAGAACTTGATTGGATGGGATTGAGTTATGTGCCAATCCCTGAAGCAATGATTACAACTAGGTAGATGTGATGATTTGATGGACCAGGCCTGGTTCATACCCACACATCCCTGTGACTGAGGAGGTGAGGTCATTCCCACCTGAACCATAGGAGATATATCCCAAAGAAAGGGGAATTCCAGGACCAGAAGAAATGTTGCAAATAAAAAGCAACAGATGTCTTCTAAACGTGCCTCTTGAGTACCTGACCCTAGATCAAGTGCCAAGCGTACGAAGCCAAATAAGACATGGTCCTCTCTTCCCCACCCACAATATGCAAATTGCTCATAGTCTGGTGGGAGAGATGGAGAACTACATGGATACTCAATTGCAACTTCATATGCCAAGTGCTAGTAGAGAGGGACTGAGCAACCTGCAGAATGTTACTGAAAGATGAATAGGAATTTAACTTCTTCAAGAAGAGGGAACAAAGGTTCTCCCTAGTAAGTAGGAAGACCCTAGAAATATCTTGTCCAAGCCTTTCATTTGATGCTTGGAGGCCCTATTCAACATTCCAGTGGGTGATTGTGCCACTTCTGGTGGCACACCCCTGTTTATGCACACTCATCCCTCAAAAGACAGCTTTGCAGGAGGCTCTCAATCATTAGGTAATTATTTCTTATGTTGAGCTGAGACCTGGCTGCACAAATCTTGGTTGATTGATTGATTGATTAATTGACAAGAATGTTTCTGGTTCAAAATCCGATTTAGTACCGATACCGGAGCCTCTTGCAGCCAAACAAGTTTGGGGGAACCATCTGCAGTGGTGATGTCTGGGATCAAGCCAGCTGCTCCAGTTCTACACCTTGTATAAGGCAAGCACGGTGTGGACAGGATTTCCAGTGTAAGGAGACAGGTGAGTAGCATTCCAGCAGGATAACAGCTGTACCTGTCAAAAGTGACATGTGAAACACTTCCCCAGGGGGCTTATTAAAATGCATACTCCTGAGCCCTTCCTCTCGAGGTTGCCATTCTGTAGGTTTGGGATGGGTCCCAGGAATCCGCATTTTAAGCCAAGCCAGCAGCCCAAATAATTTTGATTCAACTTTGGAGGAACATCTGTTGATTCATTTAGAGAAAGATACAATTCATTCATTCATCCACTCATTGAACAAATATTATTGGCCACATATTATGTGCCAGGGAGTAAGCTACCTGCTGTTAATATAGACATGAGAAAAATAATGCACCTTACCTTGATGTACTCCTAGTCTGGAGACGTAGAAGGTGTTAATTACAATACTGTGTGATAGCCATGGGCACATACATGTGCATGGTCTAGTGGGACTTTCTAGCAGGAAGTCCCCAAATCTGCTTTGGGCCGTCTGGGTGGGCTTCAAAATGGTAGTTGAGTAGAGACTTGTGAAACAAAAGGGAACTTTCTAGGAGAAAGAACGTACAAAAGCATGGGGATCAGAGTCTCCCAATCAGCCCAGAATGTTTGCAGCATCAGGGCTTTGGGAAGAGAGGTAGGTGATGGGCAGGTAGGTGATGGGCAGCTAGGGTCCAGACTGTGGCATTTGGAAGAAGAGGAATGGAGAGCCACTGGAGGATACTGAGCAAGGGATTACATGGACTGGCATTTTAGAAAGATTACTAGGGCTGCAATGTAGAGAATTAGAGAGAGACAGAAACTCAGGCAATGTCCAAGCTGGGGGACTGCAGGCGGGAGCTCATGAGGCTGGAAGGAAGGTAGAGGCAGTGAGAACAGGAAGAGGATGGGACAGATGGGAGGTTTATTTCTGAGGTAGAAAGGACTTACTGATGGTGGGTGTGGGTCTGGAGGGATAGGGGAACCCCGGGAGCAACCACAGTTTCTCCTCTCCAGGTCGCTGCCTGAAACGCCACCTCGTGTGCAATGGAGACCAGGACTGCCTTGATGGCTCTGATGAGGACGACTGTGAAGATGTCAGGGCCATTGACGAAGACTGCAGCCAGTACGAACCAATTCCAGGATCACAGAAGGCAGCCTTGGGGTGAGGGCCTGCCTACTAGCTATTTAGGAGCAGGGAATGATTTGTCTTTAATTGTGAGCATTAGTTTTGAGGACAGAAGGGGACCATTTTGGAGGGTTCCTCTGGAGTGCATGCTGTGAGCTACTCTCATTGTCCCCAGAGATGACTTGCCCAGTCCTGCCTATGTGAGACTGCCCATGCTATCTCCCCATGTATCTGCCTGACAGTCCTCCTCTCTTTTAGTACACCTACCCTACTGCTCATCTCCCTTCACCCCAATGCTGTTTCTAAGGCCCATTTAAGAAGCCACGGCTTCCATGAAACCTTCCTGATGTTTCAGAAAGATAGCTCTTCTCTGGTCTCAGCCCTTTCCTTTCCAATAGCCCCGTTCACAATCTGCTTTGCACTGTAGAGGCTCGCAATAACCAAGACTAATGGTGTGACACAGTATAAAGACAATGGACTCAGGCTGAGACAGAGAGGGGCTTTAACCCCCACTTTCCCGTTGCTTACTTAAACCTCTCAGGGCACAGTGTCTTTATCTGTTGAGATGAAATCAGCCTCGATTCTGACTTCTCTTCATTCACCTTATGTTCAGGTTCAGTTCCTTGAATGCATCACACTCTTTCCTTCTGAGCCTTAAGCAACTGGGTTCCTTCTTCCTGGAATATTCTTTCCCAAATTCCTACCTGGGTAACTCCTTATCTAATGTTCTGCACTGAATTGTGTCTCCCCTTACCCTCACATTTATTATTGAAGCTCTAACTCCTAATGTCACTGAATTAGGAAATAGGGATTTTAGAGAGGTAATTAAGATTAAATGAGGTCATAGAGTAGGACCCTAATTCAAGAGGACTGGTGGCTTTATAAGAAGAGAAAGATATACCAGCGATCTCTCTCTTTCCACACATGCATAGCGAATGAGACATGTAAGGACCTTTTTGCTGTCTTTGAGACAGGAAGAGAACCTCCAGCAGAAAGCAACCCTGACAGCACCTTGATCTTGGACTCTTAGCCTCCAGAACCATGAGAAAATAAATTTCTGTTGTGTAGGGCACCTAGTCCATGGTATTTTGTTGTGGCAGCCCCTGCAGACTAGTACACTGAGGTACCATCTCCCCTAGGTAGTCTTTGTAACAGCCCCCTCCCCTGCTTTTGACTTAGCCTGGGTTGACTTAGTCCCCTCCCATTGCTCCCAGAGCCTCCTGCAAGTCTTATTCTCACAGCTCTTACCCAACAGGGCTGGGGACATCTGTTGGGGTGTCTATCTGCCCAGGCTAGGGGCTCCGTGTCATCTCTGCTTCTCCAGTACCAGAACAGGGCTTAGCTCAGAGTGACATTCTAGTACTGCCACTCTGTTTTTGCCTAGGATCTTGTCTCCTAACTTGAAAATAAACTCTTTGAGGGCAGAGGTTGCTTCTGACTCAGCTTTTTCATCTCAGCCCCCATGTCAGAGCTTGTACTATAGCCTCTCACTGAATATGGGTTGAATTGAAACAAATCAATATGATCAGCTGGATCTTTACAGATAAGGAAATGAGGAGATGTAGTAACTGTCACAGAGTGACTCAGCCCTGTTGCAGCGCACTCAAGGACAAGTGGGGGTTCCATGGAATGCAGCCCTCATTCATTATGGTTAATTGCTCTAGATCACAGCCCACCTACTTGATGGAATTGACCTCTGTAAGTGCATGTAGATATACACACATAAAAAGATGAGAAAATTCTGTGTTCTTTCATACCAGCAGTATTAGTTTGCTGGGATTGCCATAACAAAACACCACATCTTGAGTGGCTTAAGCAGCAGAAATTTACTTTCTCACAATTCTGGAGACGAGAAGTCTGAAGTCAGGGTGTCAGCAGAGTGTTTTCTTCTGAGGCCCCTCTCCTTGGCTTGCCAATGGCTGCCCTCTTCCTGTGCCTGCACATGTTCTTCCCTCTGTACATATCTGTGTCCTAATTTCCCCTTCCTATAAGAGCACCACTCACATTGGATAACAGCCCACTATAATGACCTCATTGTAACTTAATTACCCCTTTAAGGACTCTGCCTCCAAATATACTCACACTCTGAGGCTTTGGGAGTTAGAACTTCAACACATGAATGTTGGGGAGATGTAATCCAACCCGTAACATCAATAAAAGGGGATTCTTGTTGATTTCAAAAGTGACTGTAGAATAAACAATAGAAGTGTGAAATATTGACATGTTGAAATGAAAAATAATCCCTTCCTTATTGGCAGACCATGGATCTTCTCCCACGTGATTTAACTAGAAACATTTCAAATACACTTTCTGAACAGTGTGGGTGAACCACAGTGAATACTGAAACTAGTAAAATGGTCCTGCTCCACTCCAACCACTGATGTTTGATGGTTCTTCTATTTATCTCAGATCTCAGAGGCCCTTCATGCTCTTATTTTTTTCTAATTCATTTCCCAGATTAAAATGTTTACTTATTGTTAGAGAAGTAATACATGTTTGAAATAAAAACAGAGTTTTCTTCCATCCTCTCTTGCCTGCACTCCATCCAACAGCCCTCTCTCTGCTCCCTCCCTAGAGCTGACCCATGTTAACAGCTTGGTGAAGATACTTCCAGATTACGTAAAAAATGCATTGACAATATGCATTACATAGAAAATATACCTATGTGTACTGGGCATTCTAGACACAGGTATATTTTACATAAGTAAAATACATATTGTCTGTAACTTGTATGTTTTTACTTAATAGTATGGTTTTAAGATTTCCCACAAAATTTCTATCTCTTTTTAATAAGCATCATATTCTTCTATAACATAGTCAGCAAACTATGGCCTGAAGGCCAAATTCAGCCTACTGTTCTTACAAATAAAGTTTTATTGGAACACAGATTTCACCCTGCCATGACAGAGTTGAGTAGTTGCAACAGTCCTGTGACTTGCAAAGCTTAAAACATTTACTATCTGGTCCTTTATTAAAAAAAGAATTTCCAACTCCTCATCTATAGTACAATTATATAATAATTTATTTGACTACTTCCTATTGAAAGATAATTAGATTCTTTCCCATATTTTTCTAGTACAAACAATGTGCTGTGGACATTCTTGTATACGTAGTTTTGTACACATGTGTGATTATTTCTGCATAGTAGATTTCCAAAAGGTAGAACTTCTTTGACTACACCTTTCCCTTTTAACTGGGGCTTTCACAACCAGCTTTTCCAAATATATATAGGCTTCATGCTTAGAGGTTATTGTATACTCTTAGGGAATACTGTTTCTTTGAGATTTTTTTGGTCTGTTAAGAGGCTATATTTATAAGCTACAGGCAGAAACATGTTCAATGGTCAGGAAGGTAGAAACTTCAGGGGAAGTAGAGGGAAAGGAACCCAGATTTTTCTATCAACAAAATCTAGGGAAAAAAATCCAGCTATGACTAGAGGCAAGTTATTTAATTTTTCTGATCTTCAATTTCTGCATTTGCAAAGTTGTCATGAGGTTGAAAGCTAATATATGCTAAATGTCTACTAGAGTATGTGTTCAATTTATTGTAGCTATTGTTACATCACTTACACTAATATGAAGAAAGAGAAGGAGAAAAAAGAGAAAAAGGAAGTTAACATACATTGAATTTCTACAATCTGCCAGGTGCTCTATAATTATCCACTTATTCCTTTGAGGTGGATTTTATTCGCAATTTATCCCCTGCTCCTTTCATGCCTTGTGCCTTTTCACAGAGGCCGTAAACAATCATGATGATCGCTATGCTACAGGTAGTCACTGCATGCCTTGGGAACACAGAGGAGGAAGCAGCAGTCTGTCCAGAGCATTCAAAGAAGGCTGTTGACAGAAGGCAACATTTGAGTTAGCTCCTTAAGGTTAAATAGGAATTTGAGAGACAAAAAACAAGCAATAACTATATTGTCTGTAACATAAGAGGCTTCGATTGTCAGGTCTTAGAACTCTTAGCCAAATCTACTGTTTTTGTTCTGTTAACTTTCCCTTTTTAGAAAATTAAAGTTGTATTTCATCTGCTTGACATTATTTTACCTGAATATGGTAAAACCATCCATATCCTAAAACATGGAACCTGGGCTGATGATTTTTAAATACTCTAGAAAGGGAAGTATGGAGAAATATTTCTGGAAGAGTATTGGGCTAGGGAAAAGTAAGTATAATTTGTTGAATGCCTAATATGTACTTTACTGCTGTTTTAGTTTCATACTTTCAGCTTCACAAAAACCATGAGAGGTAGATATTATTATGTCTATTCTTTAAATGAGGAAAATGAAATGCAGAGAGCTTCTAGACTGTGTTCAAAGTCACACAGCTAGTAAGTGGCAAAGCTGGAAATTAAACAGCGGTCTCCCTGACGTTTAAACTGTGCACCTTCCAATATCCCATGCTGCATCAAAGATAATGGCCTTTCTGAGGATTAGATTCTCGACCTTAGCACTATGAATTGCATCCCGTATTTCAAAGTTATTTTTTTTTATCAGCAGAGCTCTTATACTAACAATTATACTTAATACTAACAATTACCACAACAGCAACCTTTATTCAGTCCTTGATGTATATGCTAAGCATAATTACGATTTCTCTACAGGTTTCAACTCATTTAACTCTATGAGGGCAGTAGTATTTAAGAACTGCTTTTTACAAATGACTAAACTGAGGCACAGAGAGGCTAAATGATATGCCTGAGGTCACACAGCTAGATGTGGCAGAGATGGGAAATGAGCCCAGACTGTTTGGCTGCTGCCCTTGGATTCATGATAATTGCACATATTCTTCTCTAACTTATTCAGCAAATATTTAGGGTTGCTTATGTGGCAATATGATTCTAGATGCTAAATAGGACTGTCTAGATGATCTAGATAAAGGAAAACTGAAGACTCAGGCCAGCCTATTTAGTCTCCAAGTGTTACCTAAAGTGGCCCCATAAGCTACTTGGAGGAACCCCAGGACTCCACAGAACATAGATTGAGAAACTATTACTTGAACCAGCTACAACATCTTTCAGAAGATGACATTATGTGCCACCTTGCCTTTCTAATTCTCTCTCCTAAAAGCTGCTTTTGCTTTTTAATTTCCAACTTTTATTTTAAGTTCAGGGGTACATATGCGGGATGTGCAGGTTTGTTACATAGGAAAACGTGTGCCATGGTGGTTTAATACACAGATCATCCCATCACCCAGGTATAAAACCCAGCATCCACTAGCTATTTAGAAGTTGCTTTGTTCAATGTAGGTACAATATCCTGACCCAGGAAGATGCTCAGAGTGTGTACGATGCCACTTACTATGGGGGCCAGTGTGAGACGGTATACAATGGGGAATGGAGGGAGCTTCGATATGACCCCACGTGTGAACGTCTTTACTATGGAGATGATGAGAAATACTTTCGGAAACCCTACAACTTCCTGAAGTACCACTTTGAAGTAAGTCTGAACACGGAGGCTTTCAGGCCACTGTGGTGTAGGTGGCAGAGAAGCAGAGGCTTATTGCTGGAGATGGCTTGCTCTGGAAGCTTTTGTTTTCTATAGTTTGCTGGTGGCTGGAGTCTCCTTCATACCCATCCCCACACATACTTAGTGTTGAAGGGTGCTGAGAGGCAGATCATAAATGTGGCTACCCACCTGTTAAATCTTGGCTCCATTCCAAAATCAGCAAAATAGATCTGAGGCCCTATTCTCTGGGCTGCCAATCAGAAGACCTATTTCCAAGTTGTGGTTCTGTTAGACTATATACAAGACTGTTAGCAGCTAACCCACTGCCCTCCTTGGGCCCAGTTTTCTAATCTGTAGAGTGTGGGGCAGGACAAGCCGTAGATGAGCAGGATTCTGAGACCTACACTTTCGTTTCACCAAAGGCATCTCACGCTGATCACTTTCATGTCTTGGCTCTTTGTATGTGATTTTGTGTGAAGCAAAGGTTCTTTTGTATAAAAACGCTTGCAAATTGCTGACAATCACTAAGACCCTCTCCATCTCTACGATTGGGTGGTCTCTTGGTCACTTGGAGCTCATGATCAGTCAAGAGCCTACTCGTGGCCATTCATTTTCTTACCCCTCATCCTTTGGGTGAAACATCCACACGGCAAACATCACTGAATGCTTAACATGTGTCAGATCTTCTACTTTCACACAAATTGTCCCATTTAACTCTCACAACACAATGGGATAGATATTATCATTGCCTCATTTTAGATATTAAGAAAAAGAAACACAAAGGGAGAAAGTGTCAGGGTCAAACTCCACTGCAGTTGGTGGCAGAGACAAGACCCAAACCCAGATCTGTCTGAACTAAGTCCAGGCTGCACAACAGTTAGAGGAGGAGATAGATTATTCACTTCTAGAGGGAGATAGTAGGATCCTAGGATTCTGAACAAAATACTGACAGAAAATAAGGCCAAGCTTATAGGGTCTGTTTTTAAGAAGTTTGCTCCCCCAACCCCACTCCAACCTCAACTCTCTATCAGACCAATGGTAAACCAATGTGGAAGACATAAACAATGCCATGTTCCTAATCTCGAGGAAGGTCTTGGGCCTATGTATCAGCAAGATGAACTAAGTGCTTTGGGAACAAAGAATTCTCAAATCTCAGCAGCTGAAGCAACAACGCCTTGCTTATGCTACTTGTCCACCCTAAGGTAGAAAGGAAACTGACCATCACAGACACTCAGGGACTCAAGGTAATGGAGGCTTCATTTCAACACATGCTCTCATGATTGCAGAGCAAACTACTCACAGGCTCCTAAGGCTTACTTCATTGACTCAAACAAGGCCAAGCCCAGGCCTCAGTTCAAGTCAGCAGAGAAATGAAATCCTGTATACCACTGCCTAAGACAATCATAATCTGCAGGTTTCCTTTGCTTCTTTCCTCCTAGGCTCCTGCCCATATGTGGCTTTCTGTATCTCACTATTGCAAAGACAAGCAGCCAGCCTTCTCTCCTGGAAGGATAAGCCAGCCAGAAAGAAATCCATGCTCAGAGCAATATAGCATTTGATCAGAATCATCTGTGTGTGTGTGTGTGCATGTGTGTGTGTGCGTGTGTGTGTGTGTGCAAGCACATGTGGTGTATAAATGTTTCATCCGTACCACTAAACACTAACAATGCTATGATTTCTATATTTTAATAAGTATCAGTCTAATGACTGGATTGCCTTATAAAAGAATTGCCTACCATAATCTAAAATTTTAGATACTTTACCAAGCAAAGATTTAAGTATTAAATATGAATTGAGAAATGGCTCTATGTGCACAAAGCTAACATCTCTTCTTTTTTTTTTTTCAGGCCCTGGCAGATACTGGAATCTCCTCAGAGTTGTATGACAATGCAAATGACCTTCTTTCTAAAGTTAGAAAAGACAAGTCTGACTCATTTGGAGTGACCATCGGCGTAGGCCCGGCCGACAGCTCTTTCATGGTGGGTGTAGGTGTATCCAAGTCAGAAGATGCTTCATTCTTGAAAGAATTAAACAAGTATAATGAGAAGGTATTCAAACATAATGTCTCTGTCTCACAGTATTCCATAATATACACTGAACACGTATTACCTTAATTGCATTAAAAAGTACAGTAGTAATTGAACCTTAATTTGCTTGTGTAATTGGAAATGTCTGATCAGTGGTAATCAGGTTTGTTTTTCTTATTACGCTTTTGCACACAGAATCATCACAAAGGGAATAAAATCGAATGATAAGACTAGGATTCTTATCACTTTGCCCCCCCTCCCCTTCCTTTTTCGTGGTTACCTGGAGCATATAGGGAAATGTGTAGAATGGTAATGTTTTAAGAGAAACAGCCGTACCCTCTAAATTTCGCTTGGAAGAATTGTAAAGCAAGCCTTGCTTTTCCAAAAAGATAGAAGGGCTGGTATGCCAGAAAAAAAAATTTCATTTTTCCAGCAAACTTTCACCATTAAGTGCCTATCATCCTGAGGGGTCAAGAAACACTTCCTTGAGGAAAGAACATTCATCTAAGCTTAGATCTAAAGATTAGTACAAATTGTCCAGACAAAGGGAGACAGAAGTTGGCAGAAAGATGCTGTAGACATGGAAATCAGCACGTGCGAGGGACTGGAGATGAGGAAGCCACACAAAAACTTGGGATTGAAAGTACTTCAGCCAGCTGAAACACAGGGTGGGAAAGGAAAACAGGGAGTGGTGAGGTTGGAGAGGTAATCAGGTGGCCAGGGGAATATTTATTGAATTAATTAGAAGTTTACTAAAAATTCTCAATAGCATTAATACCAAGACTATGGATCCAGTTGGGGTTCAAAAATTATCTTGAATGATGAAAATATAGTTATAAAAATTAACTTACTCAACACACATAAATTGAGTCCTAGAGCTTTGCCAAAGAATTAGCTATTGAACTGAAGGTAAAGTCCTATATTGTTCTAAGGGTTATCTGTAGCGTGTTAATATGGACTTTTCTAAAAGCATGTGGACTCCTCAAACTTCCATCATCACTTTGAATCAAGGTTTCTATTGCCTGAAAGTAAAGCCCGTAGGTGGCCATCTTCCTGTAAAACTAATCCAAAATTCTTCCAGTGCTATCTCTTTTTTTTATATATAAGGACCCTGCTTTTCTTTATTACTTAGTTCAAGATTACTATTGGAATATGAACTCCGGGGGGGCAGGAGCCTATCTCAATCAAGATTATGTCCTCTGCACCTAGTGTAATGCATGCTGCTATAGGCATTGTAGATCTTTGCTCAATAACTCCAATTGAATGACATTTCAGCATGTCATTAAAGATATCTTAAACACAATTTTTAATGGATACTTAATATTAGCATAGGAAGTTTCCCAATGCAATGCTTTGATTAGCACTGGGAGAAGTGTGGGGGTGGGAATGGATTGGGCAAAGAACAGAAGGGTGAAGCACAATGAAGAAACCATCGTAGTAGCTCACCCAGGTGAGAGGTGATGAGAATTTGACCTAGGCAGGGGCAGTGGGAACAGAGATGGAGGTGTGGGGCAAGTCTGGCATACATTGGTACCTAATATGTGCTTGTGAAATATGGTAGTACTCCGTTACATGTATTTGTGTTAATATGTGTGTTTATATATATGTATTTCTTACAGCTACTAAAAGCTGACTTTTTGCATTATTTTGATTGATTTATTTATTTTGTTTTATTTTATTTTGTTTTATTTTATTTTATTTTATTTTTTTGAGATGGAGTTTTGCTCTGTCACCAGGCTGGAGCGATCTCGGCTCACCGCAACCTCTGACTCCCTGATTCAAGCGATTCTCCTGCCTCAGCCTCCCAAGTAGCTGGGATTACAGGCATGCACCACCACTCCCAGCTAATTTTTGTGTTTTTAGTGGAGACGGGGTTTCACCATGTTGGCCAGGATGGTCTCAATCTCCTGACCTCGTGATCCGCCAGCTTCAGCCTCCCGAAGTGCTGGGATTACAGGCATGAGCCATCACGCCCAGCAACCTTTTGCATTATTTCTAATGGTAACATATATGCTCTCTTTTTTCCTTTGCTTTATTCAATGGCGGTTGTTGGCAGAAATTCATTTTCATGAGAATCTTCACAAAGGTGCAGACTGCCCATTTTAAGATGAGGAGGGACAACATTATGCTGGATGAGGGAATGCTGCAGTCATTAATGGAGCTTCCAGATCAGTACAATTATGGCATGTATGCCAAGTTCATCAATGACTATGGCACCCATTACATCACATCTGGATCCATGGGTGGCACTTATGAATATATCCTGGTGATTGACAAAGCAAAAATGGAATCTCTTGGTAAGTAAAGCAGCTCTATGTACATGGTAGTCAGCACAGACACCAAGTCATGGCTTAAAGTTTTCTAAGCACTGACTATGAGCCATGGGTGATCTCATTTAGTTTTTAGGACAACTCTGTAAGATAGAATAAGTATTACTTTCCCAGGGAACTGAGATCCAGAAGAGTGAGACTTGCTAATAAGCACCACAAACAGGATTTGAGCTCAGACTTGTCTAGCCCCCTAAAACTATATGCTTCCTATTGTATCATAGTTACTTTTATTAAAAAAATTGGGGGTATTTTTGTTAATTAAAACGTGAAAACTTGTTTTAAATGTAGTATTATTGGTTAATGAACTACCACACAGTCAGTCAGTGAAGCTAGAAACTTAGATTCATCTCAGACTCCTCCTTCTCCTTCACTCGGGTAGATCTCTAAGGCGCTTCAGTTCTCTCTGATTCTTCCGCTGTCCTCCATCTCCACTCCTGCTGAGGTAAGCTGGGGTCTCATCTTTCACTTGTTACTGCATCAGCTCCCAAATGGTCTCTGGCGGCGGGCTCACCCCTTCCAACCTATTCTTGATAATTGCCACCAGATGAATCTTTCTACTTCACAGATCTGATTATATCAGTTCCTTGCTTAACATCTTGAATGGCTAAGAATAAAGACTATTAGTATCGACCACATTAATGATATTACTCCAACCTAGGAGAACAGTGGTTCTCAAAGTGTGGGCCCCAACTGTCAGAATAGCATCACCTGGGAACTTGTTAGAAATGTAAATTCTCAGGTCGCCATCCCAAATCTAACTACATCAAAAACTGGGAATGGGCCCAGCTGTCTGTGTTTTAACAAGTTCGCCAGGTGATTCTGATGCTACTACAGTTTGAGAACCACTGACCTCTTCAATGAGTGACAGGAAGGATGAGAGATCTATCCATATTGCCAAGCCAAGTTCAAATTCCCAGCTTTAAGAAGTTTACTAGACTGCACCAGCCCAGGCTGGCTACTCCTTTTCTTCAACACATACATAAAATTCCACACTGGGTAGTCTTTAAAAAATAATTTTCCAGTAATGGGATGGCTGGGTCAAATGGTATTTCTGGTTCTAGATCCTTGAGGAATTGCCACAGTATTTTCCACAATGGTTGAACTAATTTACACTCCCACCAACAGTGTAAAAGCATTCTTATTTCTCCACATCCTCTCCAGCATTGGTTGTTTCTTGAGTTTTTAATGATTACCATCCTAACTGGCATGAGATGGTATCTCATTGTGGTTTTGATTTGCATTTCTCTAATGACCAGTGATGATGAGCTTTTTTTCATATGATTGTTGGCCACATAAATGTCTTCTTTTGAGAAGTGTCTGCTCATTTCCTTTGCTCACTTTCTGATGGGATTGTCTTTTTCTTGTAAATTTGTTTAAGTTCCTTGCAGATTCTGGATATTAGCCCTTTGTCAGATGGATAGATTGCAAAATTTTTCTCCCATCCAAAGGATTGTAAATCGTTGTACTATAAAGACAGATGCACAAGTATGTTTACTGCAACATTATTCACAATAACAAAGACTTGTAACCAAACCAAATGCCCATCAGTAATAGACTGGATAAAGAAAATGTGGCACATATACCCCATGGAATACTATGCCGCCATAAAAAAGGATGAGTTCGTGTCCTTTGCAGGGACATGGATGAAACTGGAAACCATCATTCTCAGCAAACTAACACAAGAACAGAAAACCAAACACCACATGTTCTCACTCATAAGTGGGAGTTGAACAATGAGAACACATGAATACAGGGAGGGGAACATCACACACCAGGGCCTGTCGGGGGTGGGAGGCTAGGGGAGGAATAGCATTAGGAGAAATATCTAATGTAGATGACAGGTTGATAGGTGCAGCAAACCACCATGGCACGTGTATGCCTGTGTAACAAACCTGCACATTCTGCACATGTATTCCAGAACTTAAAGTATAAAAAAAAAATTTCCAAATGTTAGTATTATCTTCCTTATCCGGATAGCAAGATATTTGAAACCAAGCATCATGCCTGCCACTTTTCTATCTCTTTAACACTCAACATAGGGTTTAATACATAGTGTTCAAAACAAGACAGGAAGTTTGAGATGAAGCATTAATTTAGATTCCTGGCTAGAATCATTCATTAATTCATCCATCTACATGTTCATTTTAAAAAATAATGCAACTGCTCTGTTGAGTATCCATTCTGTGTTTGTGCTAGGGATATGATGATGAACAAATCTAAATACGGTTCCTACCCTGTTACATTACAGTATTTTTCAAACTGCATGTTGCAAGTCAATTGTAGTTCTCAAAATCATTGTATATGGATCACAAGAAAAGTTGTGAACTACAACAAAGGACAGAATAGAAAATATCATAGTGGATTATAGGCACTAAAGATAAATTATTACTTCAAGAAATCTTTTCCAGTTAAATAAAAACATGCATATTTGTATTGTATCATGATGCAAAATAAGTAGCCTACAATGGATGTAAAATATGTAAAATGTAAAATAAGCATTTAAAAACTTTACTCAAGTGGGTCTTTTAAGAATCATTCAAAAACATGAGGAAGGAAAAAAGAGTTAACATTTGTTGAGCACCTACTAGGCTTCAGGAGCTATTTTACATATTCTCATTTAATTTTCTTGACACCACTTAGAGATTGGTGTTATCCAAGTTTTAGCTACATAAATGCTGTGGCTCATCAGAGAGGCTAATTACTTAGTGCAGGCCTGCCAGAATCTAGGGTCAGAGCCCTGGGCCTCTGGTCTTCCACCATGTGGTTGTGGTATAGCCTTTGATTTGGGCTCCCGTCTTTGGGGCTGGATTGCTAACTAATTGCCTGGGGTATCTGGTGGCCCCTCCTCTTTAAAATCTGTGAGGCTGAAATGGGCTTCCAATGTGGTTAATATTCAAAAGGAGCCCACCGACAAATTGTCCCAGGGATAATTACCTCAGCTCTGTTTATAGAAAACCATATGTCGATAATAGCACAATTTGCTATTTGTGAAGAGCTGATTTTCTATAAATCTGGAAAGTTAGTGTTGCTTTTCTATAAATATGGAAATGTGCTAATCATCACCTCATCTGCTGGAGACCGCTAATAAATCAGAATGTCATTTACATATTAACCTACAAAGAACAAAAATATCTACCTTCTTTCCCTTTGACAAACAGAATCACACACACCCTTTCTCCATTTTGATGTTTGCTATATTGGGTTGGTGCAAAAGTAATTGAAGATTTTGCCATTAGAAACTACAACTTTTGCCTCAATCTAATAGCTTTCTCTCTGTCTTATTCTCTTTCCCTCCATCTCATTCCCTTTCTTTCTAGGTACTTTTCTCTCTCCCTTTTCTCTTTCCTCTTTGTCACTGTCTTTTTCTCTCTCTATGTATCTTTGATCTACATGCTGTTAATGTATATTCTATTAAGTGGTTGTTTCTAAGAGACATCCTGTGTGGTGAACATTCATGTCTGCAAAGGGCTGAGTTTGGCATGGAATGATTTAAGTGAACATCCTCACTGGTTTGCTCTGGGGGAATCTTTTGTCCTTGGGTTTGCTCAGATCCTCTCTGGGTTCATCCCAGAGGATGCACGAGCCTGTTTTCTTCTAATGTGCCCTTTAGATCAAATACTTCTCCCCCAAAGACAGCATGAAACCATGCATCAAAAATCAAGGGAAGTCTTGGATGTTAGGGAGGTGACGTTAGACTTCAATGAGATCCTAACATTTCCTCAAGGGCTGTGACTGACAGCTTTCTACCTTCTGCAGGTATCAGTACAGTTTGGGGCTTAAATTTCTGGATTTAGATTTTGTTTCCCTCCTTCATTCCTTCTTTGGAGCTCTCATTATTTGTCTTTGTATCAAGGTATACAGAAGAGAAATAGTGTATTCCGCATTCTGACTTCTCTGGTTACAGAGCTGCCAATATATGTTGGACAGGTCAAGTACTTCAATGCCATTGTTCTGTTCAGTTGGATGTTCCTGGCCTCCTTTGCACATGCTGTTCTCTCATCCCCCAATGCTCTCTTCCCTGTCTTGCCAACCTGACAAACTTCAGCTCATCCTTCTGAACCTTGTAGGGGCATCCCCACCTCTGTGAAACCTGCTCTGATATTGCTCCACCCCTTCTCCCATAGTTTCATTTGTTTATACATTCATTCACTCAGCCATGTCCATTGAGTTTGTATCATGTGTGAAAAGAACAAAATCAGTATGGTCCCTGTTCTTGCAAAGCTTACGATCCAGTGGAGGAAACAAAATAAACAGCCAAAGTCCAAATATCATCGTTGGTCCTCTTTTACTTCCTGGCCCCATCAGCAACATATGTTGACTTTACTTCTAAAGCATATGCATCACCTGTTGTCCCTCTATTACTGTCTCACTTGTCCAAGCCACCGTTGTCTCTCACCTGGATACTGCAAGAGTATGGTGGTCTCTTATTCTCTTTCTTTGTTGTTGTTGTTGTTGCAGATGTTGTCGTCATTGTTGTTCCTGTAACTCTCTGGCACTCCAAGCTTACTTCAGTCTAGAGTCTTTGTATTAGCTGTCTTCTTTGCCGGAACCACCCTTTCCTCTGATGTTTGTATAGCAGTATTCTTATCATTTGGATCTCCTTAAGTGTCACCTTTTCAGAGAGACCTTTCCTGACCATGTAGTTAAGTTTCTCTTTGTTATATCACCCTATTTTAATTATCATCCAATCAGTAGCCCCCATGCTCATAGACTTATTTGTTTATTGTCAATCTCCTCTTTCTAGAATGTTCATTCCAATCATTTTTGTTTATTGCTGCATATTCATTTCATTGAGTATAGTAGGGACTTAATAACTTGTGAATTAATTGATCAATATGTAATTGCAAATTGTGATAAAAACCATGTAGAAAATGAACAGGTTGTAAAAATGGAGACTAACTTCAGGGGGTGAGGGAGGATATTCACTTAGTTTGGGATGATCTGGGAAAGTCTCTTTGAAGAAGTGA